GTAACTTTTTTTTTGCTTGGGCTAATTCAAACATTTTCCACTGTTAAATGAGAAATTCTAATTCTTTAAAAGCTATTTTAGAATGTCAAAATGACAGCTAGCCTGTATATTGATAAAATATTATTCATACATGTAAAACAGTTCATTTTTCCAAATGACTGTAATTTGAAACAATAGTCTCTATTGGACCAATAAACCAATAACTCTTGGATTATTGATAAATAATTTTTGAACTTAGCATAAATGTAAAGCATTAGTTGCTCTAATCAGTAATATTATTGTAGAAAATGATTTTAACCTTATTGATTATTCTGTATTTTATAGCTGGCCGCTCATCCAGAAAGCGGAACATTTGTGGATTGACAGTAAGCTATTTTTATTGCATACACTCTGCATTTTAAATCATATAATTTGAAATAAGATCTGTTGCAGATAATGATAAAATAGGTTTTCAGAAGCAAAAATGTAAAGCTAATAAACAATCCATTACTGTTACGTAATCTCTTTTTCTTGATACACTAGGTGAACACAAGGCCCACACCAGGCTCCATCAATACAGCAATGCCAGCTCCTACCAATACTACCATACAACCACCTCAAACTACTGCATCAGGGTGTGTGACAATATGGCTGYCTATATTACATTGATGATTGGTTTTTGAAAATGGCTTTATAAGTTTACTTATATAATTTTTGATATATAACGCGCGCTCTGATTGGCTGACGACCGTGTTTATATCAGAGGACAGAGACACGGCTTACCGGCAAAATTTTCTTTTCACTCGAAAAATTTTATAAAAAAATATAAAACCGCTGCTTGTGTCTCTGTCCTCTGATATAAACACGATGGGAGTTGAAAAACACTCGAGAAGCAAGAGAAACACTTGCTACGCTCGTGTTCCTAAGCTTGCTTCTCTCATATTTTTCGAATTCCCACCGTGTTTATATCAGAGGACAGAGACACGCGCACCGTTTTATATTTCTTAAACAAAGAATGGGGCATTGCCCCTGCCATAATGTACATATTGTGATCTAAAGCTAACAATATTTTATGTTAAGGGTTCCAACTGCTAAGAAAGACACCAGTAATATATCAAGTATTCTATCAAGAGGGCAGGTACATGTTGCAGAAATAGTTTACCCTACCCCAAACTGAAGAAGAATTGTACACCCTGTTTTGCTGACTTTTTAAACCAATTTAATACATTGTTTCTGTGTCAACTGAAAGTGCAGCTTATTCCAGACTAAAGCCACCAAAACTCACTTCTATTCAGATTAAAACAACCAAATTGTAAACCTATCCCAGACAAAAACTATACCCTATCCCAGACAAAAACTATACCCTATCCCAGACAAAAACTATACCCTATCCCAGACAAAAACTATACCCTATCCCAGACAATATGTCCAAAAAGGAAACCCTAGTACCCTAGACTTAACAGCCGAAAAAAACATACCCTATAGCGCGGCACATACTAATATAGCAAATATATACCTCCCCCCTCCCCTGGGATTTGCTCTTTGACTAATGCTGATTGACCAAGAAAGTGCAGTAGATAAGGTGTGATGAAATGTATGAAACACCAGAGCCCATAAGCTCCTTTTAATTCATCTTATTATTTATGTATTAATTATTATATTTTATTGTATTAATCTTTAAGGTAAATCCTGATCAAATTCAACATTTAGAAATTCTTGGTTATGGCAATGGTGGAACAGTATACAGGTAAACC